TATATATATATATAAATAAATGTAATAACTTATTAAAATTTATACATTTATAATATAAGTTCTTAATCTTAAATAAGTTGTTTGTTCTTAATCTTAAATAAGTTATTTGTAAAAATAAACCCTAAATTAAGAAACTTAAACTTCATTTGAAAGAATTTATAAATAACTTATTTTTATTTATCTTATTTTATCAATATTTATAAGATTATTTGAACAAATTTATAAAATATCTTATAATATATTTTGAGTTTATTAAGTTATAAGTTATTACTCAAATTATGTCAGAGCTTATTAAAAAAAAAATCACATCTTCTTTATCAAAACAGCCCTCAGTTGTTTAAATAACTAACTACATCAAACTTTTGAATTTTTTAAAAATAAAGACAATTTTTTCATAATCATCTACTCGTACTACCAAATGCATGCTATTTTTAGTGGTTTATTTTGTAAAATTAATTTTTTTTATTTTTTTTGGGGAGTTATAAAAAAAGGCACTAACACCAATCCAATATCAAAATTAAAAAAGTTGATTTATTATGGAATTTGTGTGAAGTTAATTTAGTTGATTACTTGAGTAGGATGAATGAATTATATTTTAAGTCTTTCCATATGGATAAAAATAAAAATAAGAGCGGAAGTATAGAAGAGAAATGCATTGAAGTTATGTGGAACAGTGAAAGATATAAATAGCGTGAGCCTGCGTGTGTGTCGCGCGCGAGGAATAAAACGATGAGAGCACTGCTTCAGCTTCAGGCTTTGACAAGTCGGGTTTCACTTTCGTCCTCCACCTTTGTTCGCGGCAAAAGCTTATGGTTTGATGCAAATGCAAACGCAAATAGAGCGCACAGAAGGATATGGACTTCCACTCCTCTTTGTATGGGCCGAAGATCCAGCAAAATTGCTGGCAGAAAGGTTTTTGCATGCCACCTGTTTGATCAAATTCCCCCACCCTTCATTTTCCCAACTAGTATTACCATTTACCACCTTCCTTCCCAGTTCACTTCTTTAAACACATAATTAAACTAACTATTTTCATTTACATAAATGAGGTTATACTTCTATCATTGTTTCTGAATGAGCGGGGTAGCCGTTTTATGCATAGTTGCACACCATTATGCTTATTTCTCTGAAAAGGTAAAGGATTGAATTCTATTTGACTCAACTACAGGAAGCCCAAGATGCAAAGAAGGCCAAACTATACTCAAGGATTGGAAAGGAGGTTGTGTCTGCGTAAGTCCTTCATCAACTAACCCCTACCTTTTATGTTGCATTGCATCACTGTTATTAATGGTCCCAACTTATTTTGAGGTGATATAGGTATTTAGCGAACCCACCTTCCAATGCCCTGGATTTAATGATGCCAAATAGTTAACCCGATTTTTCCTTTTTCTTTTTTTTTTTTTTTTGGTTTTTCTTTACTGCATTTGGATTCCATGCCAGATTTTCCTCATTTTGACCATAATCTATTCCGTAATTCGTATTTGTTTGAATGGGAGGAGTTTGTTACTGTCTTGTTTTTTCTTTCTTGATTAAGGAAATGTATTGTGCATGACTTTCATCATGCTGAATGGCAGTGTAAAGAAAGGTGGTCCTAATGTAACATCTAATTCTGTTTTGGCTGCTTTACTTGAGAAAGCCAAGGAGCTTGATGTGCCTAAAGATATTGTTGAGCGCAATATCAAGAGAGCTACCGAGAAGGGACAAGAGGCTTATATTGAAAAAGTCTACGAGGTTGGTAGAATGCTACTCTTGATTTGTTTGCCAAGTGGAAACAGATAGGTCTGGGTATTTTTGCAGGTCCAGTTCTGGGGCTAGGTAGTATAGAATGCACCTCACCCTGTAAGTTGTAACCAAACATGAAATATATATTAAGCATTATGTTATTTTCTTAAAGACTTGATTGTTGTTTAACCATAATGAGCATGTTTGGAAAGGATTTCAAGATGATGTTTGCTCTGTAGAATTTCATCTTTAGTGTATTTGTATCATCTCCCTTTTCTTAAGAACATGACAGTGTCATGTTTCGAGATAGAGGCATAAATATTCTCGTGTAATTCTTCATTACGAGGAATTCACAAATCTTACACAGAAGTAGTTTATTTTTCCTCTCTTGTAAGATGACACTGTCATGCTCTTATGGTAAAAGAATGAAACCAACTACATTTTGGACAATTCCATGCTGCGAATAACATTCAGGTTCCAAAGCCATTATGTTTGGGCAGAAGTAACATTTTGTTACTTTTGCCCAAATGGATGTCTGGGAAAAAATCAGTTTATAACCCATCCTCACTTTTAATATCTAAAAAATATTATGAAATAGAATCTTTACTTTTCATTTTTTTTAAATAGCTACTAAAAAGAAATTTTTATCTACTGACATTTTTTCTTCTTCTTAAAAGTTAATTTTGGTAAACATTCATGAAAATAATAATTATTCTTCCAAAGTATTATTTCATTACTAACTATTCCAGAATACATCTCCTTAAAATTGATTCATCCCAGTTATCCAAACAAGCATTATGTTCCATTCTTCCAGATAATAATTTTTGGTTTTGGACCCATCCTTGGGTACTAAATACCTTCCACTCTTCTTGCTGGATTAAGATTTTTTGGAAATTTGTTCCTGGAATATTATTTTAACTCATATCCTTCTACATTTACCCTTCAGGTTTATGGTTATGGAGGAGTTAGTATTGTAGTTGAGGTATCAACTGATAAGGTACATCGATCTGTGGCAAAGATTAGAGAAGTGATAAGGGACTATGGAGGAAAGATGGCAGATTCTGGATCTGTGATGTTTAAGTTTAGACGTGTTCGCGTAGTAAATATTAAAGTCACCAATGCTGACAAAGATCAGCTGCTTGACATTGCTTTAGATGCTGGAGCTGAGGATGTAATTGAACCTCCAACTTATGAAGATGACACTGAAGAGGATAGGTCAGAAAGGTAATGATCTGATATTAATTTTTATTGTGTTTCTTTGGTACAATTAGATTTCTGGTCTTCACAGGAAAAAAAATTTATGACCTTTTTATTCCTGTGTCTATGTTCTGTCTACAAGATAATAGGTTTGGTGCTTGGTCTTGGTGGGGGAAACTTGAAACCAGCAATGATGAAATCATCCATTTGACTCATCTTATTTAAAATCAATTTTTTTTTATCAATTATTGAATAATACATTGGCTAGTCTGAGTAAAATCACTACTTAATGTGGCTGACTTTGAGAGGTCGGAGGTACAATCGTAGATTGATATGTGTGGTTAACAATGTACAATTAAACATCCATGAATGGATCACTTTATCTACATCTGAATGCCCCAGCCAACCAAAAGCTTTGTAACACCTTGATTTGAGTAATGAACTTTATGGATAACGGTGGAAATTGATTGTCTGCTTTGAAACCCAAGCTTCTAATATTTAAAGTGAAGGCTTGTCTATTGCCTGTTGTCATTTTTTGACTGCCATGTGCAGCAATTCACATCTTACAATTATGAGGGCTGGCATGGTATAAAGGAAATGCTGGTCTCTCATTTAAATAATATGTTTTTGAAATAAAAAAAATGTCAACTATTTAAATAGATACCTATTGTTTGTTCAAAATTTCTAAAAATATTGCAAGCAAAATCAATGAGATATAGTTGCAACTTAACAGATATATTCATAAAAATCACTTTTTTTTAGGAGTTCTTGGATATAAGTGTATCAAATCTTATATTGGTGTGAAATTGATTCACTGCCCAGATTTTCTAATTTCTGTATATATAGGGTAGGCATTTCTTACACCATGACATGATATGTATTCTGTAATAGGGTTGCTTGATCTTGTAGTCTCACACTGAAATTAGTTTACTAACTCGGTAGCTTTGATAGCTGATAGAGCCCATGGTTTATGAGAGTTCAGATAATTGTAAGCAATTTTATGGTTTCCTAACAGTGGCTGTAATAATGGCTGAAATATGTTCCAATCTCTGTTGTTCTATTTGATTACACCTTCACAACAAGGAGAGGAGAGTATAAAATTGTAGCTTGCCTACTGGTATTCATTTTATTTCATTTTGTCAGGTATTATAAAATTGTGGGTTCTTCGGAGAACTATTCATCAATACTATCCAAGCTGCGAGAGGAGGGCATAGATTTTGAGCCTGATAATGGTTCTGAGCTTCTTCCAAATACCACGGTTGAGGTTTGTTTCTACTGGCTGTTGCATATGCTATTTCCTTTCTTGGATTTTCATTTTGTTTTCTTCCTTCTCCTTTTGGATTCATATGGCATGCAATTGTTGACAGGCAAACCATCCTGAAGGTATAAGTTTAATCTGTGATATGGCAGTGTGCAATTTCTAAAATGAGTTTGGGAATTGTCTTTTTCTGACTCACTGTTCTGTTCTTTTTGTGTTGCATTTTTTAGTGTTTTCATCTGCAGGCAAACTTTTCCTTTTTGGAGAAGCTTTCTTGGAGAGTATAATAGTGTTTCTAACAATTGTTTTCCAGTTTTACATGTTATAAACCACCCTTATTATGTTTTTGATTTGGCTCTTCTGAAGTAAGCAAAGGAAAAGTAAGTAATTGATGAGAAAGTCAACTATTAATATGTCACTACACGCATTATTTATTATGTACGTGCACATAATGTTATCTGTAGATTTGCTCATCATCGGTGAAGATTATTTCCTTTGCCCTTTAAAGTGAGTTGCTCACTTTGGAGGGAGCCAGAACCATTATGCTGATTGTGGCCTTCATTTCCAATCTTTTGGGACGAAGGAATAAAATTTTAAAATGTTACAGTGAAGTAAAAATTGAGGAGAAAGTGTGAAATTCTTTACATTCACCACCCCCACCCCAACTTTTCTTCTCTTCATCCAGGTGAGAATTTTGATTTTCAAAAGTCCTTTCCCTTTAATTTCCTTTCTTTTCCGGAATCCAAATTGAGTGTTAGTTAGGCACATTCTTGAGCTGAAAAGTTTTATGTGAAAAGTAGAGTTTATTTGAAAATTGTAAAGATTTTTTTATTTTATTTTATTTTATTTTATAAAGAACTGCTGATGTACGATGTTTGCAGTTCTAATCCTCTGAATTGGCTCTATTAGACACTTCCTTTACATTTTTGCATATGTTAAATTAGCTATTAAGGGACCTAAACAATTAGGGGAAGTAGATGATTCAGTTTTATTCTATCATTTAATTCTAGTTTGGGAGGTGGGGAAAGTGACTGATACTCAGTGATGTTCCTCAATACACGCGCACATGCGCACAAATATATGATGCGAGAACTTGCATCACTTGACTCCATTAATTCCAATATTTTGTTTGTGTTGTGTAGCTTTCTTTGTTCATGTTTATTAATTATCTAGAATTGTATGTTCTGGTCAAATGAAAGTTGTTTACCTTAAGGCCGGATAAATCTCTATTCTCATTCTATTCAGCGTAAGTTTTAGAATTCATTACTTGTAGCCTTGAACTCTTGTTGTGAATAGACAAATCTCTAGGAAGTTAAATGCAGCCTCAAACCCTCTTCATACTTCGTAAGAATGAGACTATCCATCCCATCGACTGTTTGAGCATGTCTTTGTTGATGATGATTATAATAGTATTTAACGTCTCCATTATACTTTTAAAAGCAATTCTACTATTTTTCTATAAATGGGATTGTCTATTCCTTCTTTTTAATTAGAAAATAGTGGACTGGGTAAAACCTGAGTCAGTAACTCTTAATTTCAGGTGGACGATGAGGCCATGGACTTGAACAAGGAACTTATGAGCAAATTACTTGAGCTTGATGACGTTGATGCTGTTTATACAGATCAGAAATAGTCCCTTTTATATCTTTAAAAGCTTTATATTATTCGACACTGGGAGTTCCTATCACATTATGTATCTAGTCTATTTGCAAAATGAAAATAGGCTCTAAAAAATATTGGGGACTCCTCAGATGAGAAATTTGTAGATCTGACACATTGATTTCTCTTTTCATGTGTGCGAGTGTCCAGAGGCATGCTTTGTGGGAAAGGGATTTCATTTTGAAATTATTTGATTCAAAACCGAGGACATTTAAATTATGTATTGTCTTACATGACAAACTGACAAAGTTCACTAATAATAAAACAAAGTAAATCTCGATTCCTTTTGGCCTGGTTCGATGTTCCCGGAGAAATTTCTTTGCTGCCATCTTGAACTTCTCTCTTCTTTCGTATATAATTGGTCTTATTACGTATGAAGAAGATAGTCAAGTGAACTAGTTTTTCGCTCATATATTGTTGTCCTTTTTGCATGCAAACCAAGAAGCTGAGAATTATTTATATGTCGTTTTAGAATTTTCAAGATTCGTTTTTAAAGGAGAACAATCAAGATAGGCATTGGCTGGTGAGGTCAGTTAGACCATACAGAAGAGTTGGTTTATAGTTATAATGTGGCGCACTCCGGATGTTTCTCTGAAATTGCTACAAAATAATTCTAAATCTTTCTAAAAAAATTTTATGTATATATATGGAAAACATTAAATGTGTTTTATATTTCAAGACATTAAATGTTTTACATTTTCTTTATAAATTAGTAGTAGGAGTAATAGGATAATATATAATGTCATTATTCATGGCTAAAATGTATTATTGCAATACCAAACTGGTCTATCACGGATCTGAGCGTCAAGTTGAGAGATAACTTACTCTCGTGAGTCCAAAAAACTCCTAGTTTTCTAACATCTCAACAATATTTTCGATCATCTAACAATACTCTCTAGCTGGTCAACGCTAGCTCTTACCAACGGAACGTGGGCAGATGATGGTGCAATTTATTATTTTTAAGTATACTTTTGGATTATGGGAAAGGAATTTGTTTTAAACAAGGACTGGTAGTTACAGAAACCAGAAATAATGAGAATACTCATTGATATACAATACATGAAGTTCAAGGTACAAAATGTTAAGGGGAATTATACGAATTCCTTAATTGCTATAATACTTTATCATACACAAATATCATGGATCACTGTCGCTCGAACTCGGTATAGTTGTATAATTAATATATTTTATAGGTGTAGTGTAGTGCTCCTCTGAACAGATTTGATACTATAAAATAACACAATCTTTAGTCACGGTGTTACTACTCTTTTGGAACCCAGCAGCCATGCAATCCGTATGGAAGTCCATAAGGGAACTTGGCCCTAGCAATCTCTTCAAAAGTGGAACCATCTAACAGCAATGCATATCCGTCTCCATTTTTCTCACTGATTATGGAGATTACCACGCCTGGCATATGAAAGAAATTAAGATAGGTTAGAACTTAGAAGCTGTAGGCCAATGGTAATGAAGAACAAGAGGGGGATGCTTGAATTAAAGGAGTTCTAACCATCATCTTCCTCTGTTGCTCCAGGTCGTGCCACAAAGAAGGGTTCTGAGGGCACAGCACCTTCTTCATGCCAGTTCTTAGCCTTTTTCAATTCTAAATCAAGCTGCATATTACATTTATAATTATATCAAACCTCGTTCAACTAATTATATATGTGCAAAGATATTTCAAACACTGAAATTATTAGTATATAATCAAACCTTGGTGAGGGTGTTGGGGAAGTTACAAGGTCGGTGTGCTCCACAAGCATAGGCATATCTGTATTTCTTCCCTAAATAATTAGGGTTTATGCTGCACATGTCCATGCCTCTCCCATGTTCATTCGGATCCAATGCTGCCTCTAATGTTCCGTATGGGCTTCCATCCATGGGTATTCTGAACCGACCAACCCTGTTAAATCAACATCAAACAAAGCATAAATAAGATTATGATATGGTTTCAGGAAAAAAGAGCAAGATATTGTTCATATTACCTAGCATCAGGGAGAACATCTTGACCATTAAAGGAGCGAAGGTTCTGCAACCTAAGCGAATCAAGAATGGAAGCATCTGAATTGTGCTCACAACAGTCAGCAATAATGGCGGTGACCCTCCCATCCACATCTCGCTCCTCGTAGGCATTTATGAAATGGAAAGTAACGAACAGAGGCACTTGCACACTTGCCACCTTGGAGATCAGAGACATATAGATATAATGAATGAGTGGATGAGTCCATAACACAGAGAAAGAGCATGAGCATGAGCATGAGCATGAGATGAATGAACTTACAACGTTTCCACTAGTCTTGCACATGACATGCATGAAAGCCTTGGAGTGAGGGTGCCACTGAAACTTGTACAAGGGGGTAGGCTGAGCCCTGAGCAAATTCTGAGCACAGTACCTCAAGGGCATTTCAGGCACAACAACATAATGTTGGGTGACGGGGAAAGAGTGAACCCAACCGGGTGATGGGCCGCCCCGACAATCGACCCGCCCAATAACCCGCCTCTGGTTGGACCCAGGCTCCATCCTCACCACAAGGTAACCGGGCCTCACCAAATCAGGCAACAACGTCAAAAACTCTTGATCAGTCACAATAGGGTGTGCAGAGTGGATGAGACCCCCCAGCGAGTCACTGTACTCGAACTTCCCCACCGTTTCCAGCGTCTCCGGTTCTATCACTATGGATCCTTTCTGAGTCTCCGTCAGGCACACCACTCTCCCGTCGCCCAGCCTCACCACGCCGGTGTTCGCGTTGTCGGTCAGCGACGTGCCGGAGAACAGGCTCGCCAGTTCCCCCACGTAGGCCAGGAAATTCGCCGCCTTAGGCACTTCGGAAAACTCCCGGTAGCATATCTTCTGGTTCTTCTTGGCGGCGCGGTACGCCTCCGATTCGATTTGCCGGTGGCCGCCGACTAACCCCCCGTTCTCGAAATGGAGCTTCACCACCGTCGCGTAACCGTCGAAGAGGTGCCTGAAGTTATAATCCCCTATGTGCCACATGCCAGGCCCATTCCTAAGGTACGTTCCTTTCTGCATGTAATTATAATAATAATAATAATTATTATTATTATTATTACACCATCTACTTCTAAATTTTCTACATCCGTTATGTATCAGATAATCACAAATTCAGAAAAAATAAACAGTAGGGCTTTCGAATTAAATTTTTCTCGTCATACTTTTATGGCTCCCTTTTTATGTGGAAAAGGCCTGTATCAATAATTATTATTTTACGTATAGACAATTCCTCAATATCTTGTTCATTCGCAACAAAATATTTTCTTTTTGCGATGGTCAAAAAAAACATGCTTTTTGGGAGAGAGATACTATTTCACCAATCGAGTCACAGGTATCTAACATATTGATACCTAACGATTTTCCGCAAAGTGGCGACGAAGGGTATAACTTGTACAAATCTTTCCATTTTCCAATTCGATACGATCCATTCGTTCGTGGAGCTATTTACTCGATCGCAGACATTTCTGGAACACCTCTAACAGAGGGACAAATAGACCATTTTGAAAGAACTTATTGTCAACCTCTTTCAGATATGAATCTACCTGATTCAGAAGCGAAGAACTTGCATCAGTATCTCAATTTCCATTCAAACATGGGTTTGATTCATACTCCATGTTCTGAGAAATATTTACCATCCGAAAAAAGGAAAAAACGGAGTCCTTGTCTAAAAAAATGTCTTGAGAAAGGGCAGATGTATAGAACCTTTCAACAGGATAGTGCTTTTTCAACTTTTTTTCTATATGTTACAAGTTTTTCGTTTGCTCCCTCATTTAAAAAAAAAAATAATTAAATCTTCATAATATTTTTTTGTCCCTTTCGTATTAATATAATTCTTAAGTTAGTCTTTTATTATAACAAGAATTGGGACAACTGACAATAAGAAAATTTCCAAGTTATTTTTTTTATTAATTAAAGAAACATTAATTTAAACAAACTGCAAAACTTTTGAGTTTCAAAGTTTTAAATTTAAAATAGTATCTTATTATTATTATATTTTTAATTTCTTATAAACATAAAAGTATTTTATTAGCATGTGCAATATACATGAAAAATGTTTATTATATATAACTAAAATTTACAAGTAAACTATATATATAAATAAATGCTATGTTTGAATACATAAGTTATATTTAAAATTTGTACAAATAGTTAATTTTAAATATATAAATTATATTTTAGATTTATGATTAATAACTTATATTTTAATATAAAATTATTTTTATTTATCGATAGTTATCTTAAAAATATTAAAATTTAATTTATAGATAATTTTGATAAAATTTGAATTAAATAAAAAATTAAAAGAATCTTTAAAAACACTTTGATCAAAGAAATTTTTTTAAAAAAATATTATTGTATAAGATAATTGTTCATATTTAATATAAATGGGTTAATGACTTTTATTGATTTGGTTTTGGTTCATATTTTTTTAGTAACAATAGTAACGCACTCCTAACACACCCTCTTTCATTAGTTAACATTATATAAAAGAATTAAAATCATAATAAGACTCATGTCCATGAATACTATAAGTAAAATCCATCATAAATTGAAAATTGAAAATTGATAATTGAATAGGTATCCATTCATACACGTGGATACTTGTATTTTGAAATTACTTAAATATTTTTAATCATATGTAACATAAATTGATCTCATTTATTTTTAATATACATATTATTTCATTTATATTTTATTATATATAATTCTATATATATATGTTTTAATTTTTTTAATTATTTTATTACTTTTTGTTTAAAATTTTTAATTTAACAATATATATATATATATATATATATATATATATATATATACTAATACTGTACAAAAAAATAAATCACTTTTTTTCCCTATAAATACTATGTTATAAAAATACAATAATAATGTTATTTAAAAATGATTTATACATAAATAAGATTAAATATTATATTAATATTTGTGTATTTTATATTTTTAAATTTAGTTACGTTAATTATATTTTATAAACAATAATAATTATAAAAACTTAGGTATTGTTAAAATTTCTCTTTTGATTTGTACCACATATTTTTTTTTACTGGAGACAATTTTATTTAAATTAAATAAAATTATTATGAATAATAAAGTGTTTTTTTCTTAAATATTTAAAATAATTGTATATTTAGTACGTAATCTCAAAAACACCGGTTAAACTTAAATAATATTCAAACAATTAAAAAAGAGTACAAAATTTAATTAAAAAATTAAAATTAGAAGTTTCTAATAGGATCTATGAATTTCAAACAATATCAATCATCATTAATTACTATATTAATAACATTAAATACTTTCCCTAAAAAAAAATAACATTAAATACTGTATTAGTGTATGTTATCTAAAAATAAATAAAAATCTCTGCATTGAAATATTTATTTATGGAAAAAAAAAAAGAGCTTTGTATTAACGGTGTAAACAATTTTAATTCATCTGAATATAAACTAATAAATTTATTAACTTTTAAAATAATCATGTTAAAAATTATATCAATAATGATTTTTTCACGGTGTGAACAATACATCACCTTTAAATTCATATTTATTTTTATATAAAAAAAAACAAGAAATCTCTCTATTGTTTTTTCAGTCTGCATTGTGTTGCCCTCTGCTACGATTGTAAATCGTTATTTCCCAACTGGTTTTCTTTCGCAAAACAATTTTTCTATCCAACAAATCATTTTCTTGCCATCTGTGAAGCAATATCTCACTGTTTCAAAAATATATTATTTAACAGAAGTTACTTATTCACCTTATACTCCTCAATCGTTCAAAGTATGAACAAACACAGCATTATTAATTTCTTTGTTGTAATCTTGTTAAACAATGCGAGATTTGTATTAATATCAAAGAACCCACTCATATCTATATTTAATAAGTACCATGATAACGTCACGAACCGAAGCTTCGTCTATTGTTACAATTTGTTCGTCCTTTTTCATTTCCCCTCCATCCTGTCATATGTTAAACAAAGGACGTGCTTTCCAAATTAACCTCAAAAGCAATAGAAGAAAATGCAAAATAAAAGCACAAATAAATGAATAATCATACAGAATCACTCAATTAATTAAATTAAATAGAGTTAGTTGTTAAATTATTCTCTCTTAAATGAGCATCCACTTACTTTCTTTATCCAAAAACTTGGCAAAAAGAAAAAGGATAAGACAATATGAGGAAGGCCACAACACCGTGTAGGAGCTGGAAAGCAAGAGAGGTAAATGATGAAAGTTGTACATGCCAGTCCGCTTCCAACGCGGCACGTGCTGAGCCTGCTAAGTGGCACGTGCTGCAAGCGTCCAATTAGCACCACCTACCCGCCAAAGTCACTTAATTATAAACGCGAAACGCATTTCCCATGGAGAAGCAGAACCATCACTCACAGCGAAATCCAAACCAAAATGGCGCAAAAACAAAGCATTGAAGAATCTCAGAGCAAGCTCCGATCAGAGTTCCTGAATGTCCTGCGTAGTAGGCGACCCGCTCAAGGTATCACAATCGAACTTCACTCACTATCTTGCGCCGTCTCGCTCTGTATTGTGCTACGATTCTCGTAATTGAATTTCCTTCGTTATTTATGTTTCAGTTCCACTAACCGTCGAACTCGCGAAGCCGGTGGAGAATCCTTTGCAGCAGACCTCTCCTCTAACGAAGGAAGAGGTTTCAAAATTCATAGCATTTTTTTTTTATTTTTTATTTTTATTTTCAGTTTCTACTTCATTTACTGGTTTATCGCATGGAAACATTGTAGATCGAGATATTGGAGTCGAGTCCGAAGGCAGATATAGGGAATCTTGAAGAGTTGCTCGAAGAGGAGAATTTGTACTTGAATATAGAGGTAGTAATTGATTAACACGATTTTTCTCTGGTGTTGAATTTTGAATCGATGATTTTGTTATTCGGAATTGACTTTGAACTGGAGAAAAAAACTCGTTGATTTTGGATCGTAGAAAGGAGAGCAAGGACGGTTGCCGGTGTTGATTTTGAAGTTGAAGGAAAGCGAAAAGCGGAGAAAAAAGCCTGCGGTTGTTTTTCTTCATAGTTCGTACAGGAACAAAGAAGCCGTGCGTCCATTGCTTAAGGTTATTTTTCATTTGAAACTGTATTAATCTATGTACTTCTGAGTTCTAAGTGATAAATTGATTTGATTATAATCGCGGATTTTGTTTCTGGCTTCGATTTCGGTTTTTCTCCTTGGTGTTTCAGGCGTATGCTTCGCGAGGATATATTGCAATTTCTGTTGATTCTCGTTACCATGGAGAACGTGCCACCAGCACAACCACCTATCGCGAGGTGCGTGTTTGCTTTGCTCTGATTTACTTTATAGCTTTATACCTCTTGCTGAATTACGCAATTTTATTTAGGAAAAGCTTTAGTAGGAACAGTGAACTCGTTTCGTATCTCAAATGCTTTATCTGAAACAACAGTTTTAGTAAATGATTTGCTTTTGAAATTGTTAAATTATGATGTAAATTCTAGAAAAAAAAATTCTAGAAAATATAAGATAAGATGTATAAGTTTTTATAAAAAATTAAAAGAGTGTAGATTAATTAGAGACTTGAAGAGTCCATAAATTTTCACCATCATCCAAATGTGGTGTATCATGCCTATAAATAGTCAAATTGGAACTTCATTATAAACACTACTACTCTCTAAAATTAAATAAGTTCTTATTATTCACTACCAACTCGTAATCAACTATCATTGTAAGCAATGGATGCACGGCTTCTTTGTTCCTTGGATTTGATTGTAGTTCTGTTATAATTATTTAATTATTCTGCCCTTATTAGTTTACTCATTTACGTATTCATTTGAGAGTGATGTTAATAAAGTAGAGTAGAGTAATATACTTTTGAGTCACTCTTTCAAACATATTTTCTACTTATTAAATAAGAGGTGGAACCCAGATGTTTCGTCATTTTTAATAAATTTAAGTCTTTTAGAAATTGTTCAAAGAAATGTGTTAAAGACCAAAGAGTGTTTTGGTATTAACTAAAATAAATTGTAAGTTCCCACATAGAATTTGGTCTGTAAATGAACTATAATAGTTATTTTTAATGAGTTCCAAAAATAATAATTTGATTACTATGTCAAATCAAATTCGTATTTTAGTGGTTCTGAACAGTGTATGTAATTTTCCCTGAAGACCGTAGATTAAGCTTTAGGAAAAGTAATTAGTCTTAAACAATTATTGTTTCCCTGAAGAAGAAGTGGACTCTCTTTTGCTTTACATATTTCCCCAATATCGTTGGGAAAGTGAAAAATAAGTCATCTGTATAAAATTCAAATCTGATCATGTTTTATTTACTTTTGTTTTGGCTACAACCTCTCCTCCAAAAAAATATACAGGCACTTATTTCTGCATGGAAAACCGGTGAGACGATGCCATTCATATATGACACGGTAACTACTTATTTATCAAACTTTACCACATTGTTAATATGGAGCCACTTAATGCTCCAAATGATTTGTATGAAATGTAATTATGGCAGTATAAACTTGTAATTAGTTTGGTTCAGAAATGGTGTATTATTTTTCTTTGATATGGCAGGTCTGGGACTTGATTAAATTAGCGGATTATCTAACACAGAGAGAGGATATAGACCCTTCTAGGATAGGAATCACTGGAATATCACTCGGAGGTTGGTTGAAAGAAGTTTAAAGGAATATGTCAGATGGCATGCTTGATGTCACTCATCACTTATATAATTCCTTGATGCAGGAATGCATGCATGGTTTGCTGCAGTTGCTGATACTCGTTATTCAGTAGTTGTTCCTCTGATTGGCGTTCAGGTGGCATTGAATGATTGGGTGAAGGTTTTACTTAGCAAAATTTGTTTCTGAAACAATTTAAAAACTTGTGCTAAATGCTTGCAGGGATTTCGATGGGCCATAGACAACGATAAATGGAAGGCTCGAGTTGATAGTATAAAGCCTCTTTTTGAGGGTAAGATGATGTCAAATGAGTTTTTGAAATTTCTCATGTTTTTACCTATTTTCTTATCTTTGCTTTAGTTACTGCTTCTTGTACTTCATCTTTTGGTTTATATTATATTGGAATATATTATTCATATAAACCCAGTAATCTCGTAGTACCACTTTATATATGTAGCTCGTGGTGTATGATTTCATAATACATAAAATAATTTGTCTTTTACAATTGGTCATTCATAATAGATTGCCTGTGGATTAAATTACATGGTGAAGTTGGAATGTTTTGAGTACGATCTATTGGGTATTTCGGTATATATGTCCCTAACTCCCAGGTTATTGAATGCAGTGGCTCGTGATGATTTGGGTAAAGTGGCTATTGACAAAGAAGTGGTGGAAAAGGTCAGCCAAGTTTTTATTAATCCAACTATGATTCCGTCTCCAAACGAAGTGTATATGCTTCGATTTATTGCTTTAATTAAACATGCAATGCTTTCTCGCATGATACGTATCCTATTATTGCTAGTTTTTCACCCACTGGGCACAATTTCCATGTATAACTTTGTTCTTGTTATTCGAAAGTGTTTCCAGTCGATATTATATACTAATCTCAAAATTTTATATTTCTGATCAGGTGTGGGACCGAATTGCTCCTGGTTTGGCTTCCCAATTTGATTCACCCTATTCAATTCCAACTATCGCACCACGTCCTTTGCTTATTCTTAATGGTAAAACCCTTGTATTATGTTGTACATTAAACATTTTCAAATTGAATCTGGCAACCTTATTTGACCTAGAGAAAACCCTAGTTCGTCCCGTGGCCGGAACACTAATAATAAAATATGGACCTGAGAGTGATGACGTCTGCGTATACATGTGGTTGTATTGTATGCGTCTCGAATCATGGAATATACCGATGACTAATCATGAGGATACATATTCAAAGATACTTTGATGTTATGTATATTAATTGTTTATACGGGTTTGCGTGTTTATAGTCTAATTCATTAAAAAAAAATTCATATAAATACAATTTTGGTACAGACTTTATTTTAGTATATGTTCAGCTTTTAATTAATTATAATATACTGCACTTTCATTCGGTTTTTCATTCTCTGACGTTATAGGTATAGGGTACGATGATCAACAAACCTACACCACGGATCGGATCAAATCACTAGCTTTGTTTTTTTTAATATTTATATTTATAATGGGACGGTGTAGTTCCCGGAGTTAAAAAAGCTTTTCCTTTGCAACAAGTTTTCTTGTTCTTTTTCACTTTTTTTTGTTGTATTTTTCTATGCTCGTCAAGTATAACTGATCCAGTAATAAGTTATAGGTTGATAAGATTTAAGTATAAGTGGGTTACGTGTTAATCTTTAAAATTATACATGTTATTGTGATATTGATGGAGTTGGAGATTAATTGAAGAGATGTGATGAAGATAAAAAATAAAGACTTACGAGCCATAGTGGTATTTGGCCTTGAACATGCAACTCTCCTTCCCATCTCTCTTGTGGGACACTAGTCCATGCAACATGGTGGGTGGTGGTCCGTGGGCGTTCCTGCGGTGTTGGAGGGGCAATCAGGGTCTCAGGTGATGGGGTTGCAACATTTGGTACGGTCAAGTCTCGGAGGTTGCGTTGCCCTTTATAGAGGCCTTTATTATTTCGTGGTGAAATGTTATCGGGAACAAGCATAGTTGGGCATGAAATGGAGCTTCTAACAGAGGGCAGGGAAGTGAAAGCCATGAGGTGTTGTTTGGGAGGAAGGAGGAAAATATGGAATGTGTGTTTGGTTTGAAGCAGTTGGCGCTTTTGAGTGAGGAGGAATGATGCATTTATAGGACGGTAAGTGATTGTGGGAATCTTTGATTGGCGGAATTCCTTTTCACTACGGGACATGCCTTGTTTTTTCTCCAGTCCTTACTTTCATAAATTCAATTTTTAACTACTTTTATTGCATTTCGCCAACTATATAAAGACATCCAAGTTAATATATTATAAATTACTTTTCAATTTTTAACTATACCAAAGTTCAACTGCAATGAGTTTAATTTGTTTTTTTCCTCTAATTTCACTTTTATTTCTTATACTTTCATTTAACTCCCATTTTGACCCTTTTAAGTTAATTAAATCCCATTTTCTTATTAATCAAAGTTATAATGAAAGAGAACCTTAGTTACTGGGGGTAACTTATTTAAAAAATAAAAAATTATTATTATATATATAAAGACATAAATATTATATAAAAAAGAAGAAATAACTAGTGGAGGAAAAAACACTCTCTACCTGTGTTAAAAGAAAAGAAAAACCTTAATTTTGATGTAATAAGTTATTTGAAAAAAATTGAGGGTGGTTAAAAGGTAATTTATAAGGGTAAATACATCTTAAAATGTGTATATGAAAAAAATATATTGTCTTTATATATTATAAATTATAAATAAGTGACTTAAAAATAAACTAAAATATAAAAAAGAAATTAGTTAATAAAAGAAAAAAATTAACTAACAACTGAAAAATTAGATGTAATGAGTTCAAATTATAAGTTTATACGGAGGACAAAAAATCTATAACTCAAACAATAAACATGTATTATTTTTAAAGTCAAAGAGAGCAAGCTCAATTACATGTGTATATTACTCCTGTACCTTCTTAACCTTTTGTTGAGAGGGTCTAACCAAGAAGATTTAGTCTAGAAAATTTAGTTGAATATCCTGAACATTCGTCGAGAGTGCACTTTAACTTAGCATCTACAACTTTCATACTTGAAGTTGGTAAATAATTGTATCCTCCCAACTTTTTGCCAAGAGGTTTTGATCGAGTGATTTTGGCCGAGGTTCTAATTGAATACCCCACCAATTATACCCAAAAGTGTATTTTCTTTCTCTTTATTCTAATTTTAGTTAAGTGACTTGATTAACTTAATTAACTTAATTTAATACGATATTCAAATTGGAATAATTCCAACCTCTACTACTATACCAATCCTACTTGTTCAAATATCATATTTTAAAATTTGATTAATTCTAACTTCTTCTTTTTATAATAATAAAATCTTCAAATTACATTTTTATTTAAATTATTTCAAAATTTAGTTAATTAAATTATTTTAAACTTTCTTTCGCTTGAAACTCACAAATCAAAATATCAAATTTCATTCAAAATAAAAAAAAATTGTAATTTCTTCCTCTGAATCCTAATATCACATCTTGAAAAAAAAAAACCTTTAATTTGATTTTTTTTCCTTTCAAATCTTCAATAAATTCTAAAACTTTATAATTATTTTATGTCTTCAAAAACCTCACCAATACGTATTTCAATTTAAAATATGTTTTTTATTAAAAGATTTATTGGTAGAAAAAAATTGATACAGGGACCAAATTTGTTAATTTAAAAATAAGGAGAGTTGGTGCATATTTTTGACAAACATTGTTAACTCACATATTTTGAAATTTTCCGGTTAATCCCAAAATAAAGTTTCTCTTTATAGTTTCTGGCCAAACTTAGATAACTTTTTTTTTTCTTTCTACATAAACATGTTAATTAACTTTAAGAAATTAAGGAAATAAAATCACACATAAACCAGATCAACCAAAAAATGCATATAATTAAACCTTTTTAATCATATGTCTTTGATTTAAGTATTATATGTAAACAAATACATGTTAATTTTTTTTAGAGTTTAGGATTTATCTTTTTTTTTTGGACTATTTCAATTAACTTGAACTAGTCAAGATTTACTGTGACTTTTAAATATCAAATATAAAATAAAATGAATTACGAACACTTGACATGAGTTTAAAAATTTATACCAAATTTTATATTTTTAATATTTTTTTTTTGTATAGTACAAATTTAAATGATTCAAACATTAAATTATGTGATATTATACTCAAAATTATGTATATCAAATTTTATATGATTTCAAAAATTATTTAATTATTCATCGTTATTTTATTTTAATGTATAATATATGATATTTAAAATATGTATGAATATCTATTTTTAGATAACATATTTATAAAAGTTAAAATCATGTGAAATTAGATATATATGATGTTAATAATATCTTATAATTCAACGGTTGGATTAATTAAATTTGTATTATAGAAAAAGTTAATGAATGTATACGATTTAGTGTAAGAGCAACTTCAATAAGACTTGCTTGTCCCATGAAGCAACTCAAATATCGATTTCTTGCCATTGGAGGACTCTGACATGGCAACATGAGTTGCTTGAAGAAGAGAGAGAGTAGCTTCCTCAAGCAACCGTTCTTACCAAATTTCAAGCAGATCTTATTGAACATATTTAGGAACGTTTCAGAAATAATAATGATGAAAATTAATTTCGTATAATGTTTATGTATTTACTATTGCTTTATTTTATTTTTAATATCTACTTATTGTGTATTTTTTCTCGTAATTTATTTTCTTTCATTGTAGTGCAATTATCCTTTTTAATAAAAATTTAAAATTAGTTTATAAATGATTAGAAAAAAATTCTAAAAGTTGAATTTCTTAAAGTTTCTTAACATTGGAGTAAATTTGTGTTAGAGTTGCTTAATGCTGACATGGCACACTGAGGACCATTTTTTTCATTTTTTAATGCATGAAGCAACTCAAATGAGTTGCTTTCATCGGAGATGCCCTAAGTATTTCAACTTGAGAAGGGATCTATTTATTGCAAGAATAAGTCTACGTACACTTATTTTCGTTTAACAATTCAGCTATTGAATTTAAATTTTTTAATGCATAAATAAGTCTGCAAATTTTTTAAAAATTTGAAAAATATTTAATACTTTATTTCATTAATTCAAATTAGCATATAAAATGCTTTTATAATTATTCATCAATTTAAATTAATGAAACATAATATCAAATGATTTGTAAATTTTTTTAAAATTTTGCAAATTTGATCTATACATTAAGAATTTTAAATTCAATGATTAGTATGTTAAAATTTAATATAGAATATGAATTATTGAATGAAGTAAATATAAATAGACTTAATCTTTAAATAAACATATCCCCTCTTTGAACTTATAGAGGTAATTTTCAATGAAAATAAACATTTTTTTAGGAGATTGAACCAATAAAAAATAATATATCCATTGCACCGTTTTTGTCTTATAATGACTGCGGTTCAAATTTATATAAATACATATATATATATATATATATATATATATATATGAAAAACGTATCTAATAAAAATATGTCTTATTATTATGATAGTCTAGAGGGTTAAATAATAATTTTTAAATTATATATAAAATAAGGCTTAAATGTATTTTTTTAATCTTTCAAATTTAGGATAAATTTATTTTTAGTCTCTCAAATTTAAAACTGTTATTTTTAGTCCTAATAATTTTTTAAAAGTTCTGTTTTAGTTTCTTAAGTTACCAATAACATATTTAAAAATGGTAGATTAAGACAATTATGTAGTATCAATTAGGTTTAATATGATATTTTCACTAACAGAGACACTAGTAGGTAGATTTTAAGTGATAATATTTAATAATTTCTCTAATAAAACTTGAGTATAAGGACTAAAATAAGAGTTTTTAAAATTATAAGAATTAAAAAGATCAATAGTTTTAAATTTGAGAGACTAAAAATAAATTTATCTTAAATTTAATGGATTAAAAACATATTCAAACTTAAAAATAATTAATGAATTAAATCAATTATAAATTCCTTTCCTATGAGATCACTATCCTTTATTATCATTGTGGCCATCATCACTACTACCTTGCCACCATTGTTGTCACCCAACCCTATCACTACCATTGTCATTGTTGTCATTATTATTAGGGTTTGTTATACTCTAAACCCTAAACTTGTCATTATTAGTACCGCTATTACTATCACCGTTATTATTGTCAAATACATGCAATAATGATAATGATGGTGATTGATAATAAAAGATGTAGAGATGAGTAGTAATAATCATAAAGACAACTATAATAATTTTCTTATAGAACATCTCTTCAAATATATTCTCTATCTATAAATTTTAATAATTATATATTGTACAAAAGTATTTTTAAAAATTATTACTCAACAAGAGTGTTTCGGTTAATTTTTTGTGAGTGAGAGCGTATTTTTTTTGGATTTCATTTCTTTATCAATTTATGTGTTTTTATTTTTAGTTTTATATAAAATTTCAATATCCACAATTAGAATAGATACCTCACACATACGTTTAGCCGTGAATTAGTTGAGTAATTGTAAAAATACATTGTTTCAGTAATTAGTTGAGTAAAATAATTATTTGAAATAATAACATGGGCCTTATGGATTAAATATTTTGAGATCCACTGGTAAGTTCATCTATATAATTTGTGATCGTAGGATGGCATGTCGCCTCCAGAAGTGCATGTTATGCATAATGCATCAATTCCTTCTTTGACCTTGAAATTTGATCGTACCAAAACCCACCACGTTTGTCTTTATGCATTATTAATATAGAATCTAATCCTCTGAAAATCAAACATGTAATTATATTTGTGCTGTTGGCAATTAAATAAACTTGGACATTTTTACAACTTTAATTACTTTGGCTTTAAACGGAACACTGCAAAATTAACTTATGCTTAGTTTTCCTTCTCGTTTTTTTTGAGAAAGGAAGAAAGAATAGCCACTAGTTTTTTATTTTATTTATATATATATATAATTTTTTTTAATTTTTTATATTTGCATCAAATTTATCTCTCAACTATCTATTAGACAAATTCTTTTTGAGGTACAGTCATTAGCTAGTAAAGTGAAATTTGTCTCTCAATAAAATTTTCTTTACATATATATATATATATATATATATATAATCAGAAATCAAACTCCTAACATGATGTTTAAAAATCCTTAA